CCCCCCCCCCCCCCCCCCAATTCTGTTTGCAGCTGTGGGATCTCATCAGTGTCAGAGGCTTCACTTTGGCCGTTAACATCGGTGAGATCTGGAGCTTGGCCTACGATCCCAAGTCCAGGCGGCGGGGGCTGAAGTAGAGGAGAGTAAAGGTATCAGGCCGCCCGGACCCATTAAGCAACTCCCGGGCAACCTTTTCTAAAATCCAACCGATCCTCTTTCTGATACCGTAATGAGAATACTTATTTCTGATACCATGGTGAGAACACCTATGAAGCTACATCCATGAACTTCCCCGCCGTTTGCCTTGCAGAACGTTCCCGAAAGCGGGGGGGGGGCCTCTAAAGGCGCTAAAATAGAGACAAAGATGTCGGGGCTTCCTTCGGTCTGCAAAATGAACTTCTAGTCATACTCCTAGTCTTTGGATGTAGCTTTGGCTTGAGACTTGGAAGCTGAGTCTTAGGGTTTGCACATTGACATGACTGTCTGCAAACCAGGACTGACGGCTATTGTCGGTGTTTCCATGAGTTTACTATCTGGAAAGGAAGCGATGCTGCTGCGACTGTAGCTTCCAAATGAAGGGTAAGGAATCGGGCACGGGGACCAACCCAACAGTTGGTTTCCCCCACTGAATAAGTTGAGCTCCACCTGTTGGCTCCCGGTTGAGGGTTTTAGGGTTTTTGGGGGTTTCCCCGGTTCGACGCGATGGCTGTATTCTCACATCCTACAGCTCCGGCTTGGCAATCTGCGCCCAGCGACCGACGACCCGAAGTCACCGAAGTCCTAGACTAGAATAATACCTAAAGCCAAGTAAACCTCAACCCCTGAACCCTGAACCGTAAACCCTAAACCCCTACTCCCCAGACCCTAAATCTTAAGCCCATGGCCACGGCCTCATCAGGGAGCCTGAGTATGCTAGACACGGAGTTTCAAAACCCGGAAGAGGACGCTCTTCTGCGGCGGAAACAACGAATCGGAAGCCCGTCTGCGATTGGGAGAGGAGTCGCTGGTGGTTTATCCCTAAATCGTAAACCCAAAACCCGTGTTATTGCTATTGTTGTTTAGAGGAGTTTTCCATCAGCAGAAGTAGCATCAAGAGTCGCGCCAGCGGCAAAACATAATGCCACACTGTTTTAGGGTTTAGGGGTTAAGGGTTTAGGGTTTCCCCTAAACCATAAACCCAGCTTAACCCCAAACCCTAAACCCTAAACCCCAAAACCCTAAACCCAGCTTTGTCTCCAAAAGCCTTAACTCTGACGCCCTCAGCCCTGAGCCGAGCGTTTTTTTAGTGCTCCTGGGCTCTCACAGCGTCTCGCCTTTACGAGGAAAGCTTCAGAACATGTGAGGGTTAAGGGTTTAGGGGTTTAGGGCTTTGGGTTCAGAGACATGTGAGGTTTAAGGGCTTGGGGTAAGGATTTCGATTTAGGCCTGGGGTTTAGGGGTTTGGGGTTTAGTTTCTGAGGTTTTAAGCCGAGGATCCAGGGTGCTGAGATTTTGTGGTTGCGGGTTCCTGCTGAGGCTTTTGGAACGTCAGCCAAGAAGCCTACTAAGAGCGTCGGTAAGTCACTGCGTCTTCTCTTCTTCTCAAGCGCCCTGCCCAAAACCCTAAACCCTAAACCCTAAACCCTAAACCCTATACCCTATACCCTTAATATAGTCGAAAAAGTTAGCACAGCCAGGAGCAGAGCTGGGGATGTATGGCAAGCCTCGTCCGTCATCCGTAAATGCGAATTCGACGTCAGAAGAAACATACTGTAATCAAGCTGACCGCATTCAAGGTTGCAGCCGTCCAGCTGTGAAGACGCGAGGAGGGGCAAAAGGAGCGCGAAAGGACTTAGTGCTTGCAGTCTTACAGGTCTGGACGGTCTTAGACCCATATTCCCGATATGGTAGACCATTTTTGTACTGGAGTTTCGTCACGGTGCATGTCGGACGTTCCTGTGAAAGTTTGTTGTACGTCAACCAAGACGAGCACACACACACACACAGAACCGAATGAATTGCAGGAAGTGCATACTGCCAAGTCTCAATGACGAGGACAGAACCCGTAGCGGCATAAGGAGGCAGCCTCGAACGAAGCTTCACGATGGATCTTTGAAAGAATCTGAAAACGAACATATACCGGCTCTGGATGCCTGAAGCATTTCGGTTCTATTCTAGCCGGACGCCTCATCCCGTTCTTCAACGAAGTGCCAAGAAGCCCGGCCCCACCTTGTACCTTTTTTGTTTCGAGTTTACGTCGTTTAAGCTTAAACTCAACAGCCTCGGCTGTTCTTGCTTGCGAAGATCAAACCTATCCTCGAGCCAACAGCCCCTGCATGCCTTAGTCCACAATATGCTTAGCCTTAAAGCCCAACCGGACAGCCCTGGAAACCCCTGAGCTCTTGCAAGAACCTTCAGAACAAGCGAGGTCCACATCCAAATCCCTGGCACCATCGACGTCTTTTGTAGGTTAGGTTTGGTAGTAAACAACAGGGCAGACCCATACAAGCGTTTATAGTCGTAGACCACCGAAAGGCAGAACAGGTCCTCAGGCATGTGCTTCTGCTTGCTGCCGCTTCTGCTGCTGCTGCTGCTCCTCCTCCTCCTACCACCACCGCGACGGTGACCGGGACTGCGACCATGACCACTGTGACTACCATTCCCACTTCCACGGGTACGGCCCCACCCCACGTGCCCATGCAGCTACCATGACCACAACCGCGACCAACTACCGCCACCGCTACCAGTACCGGTACCAGGACCAGTGCCAGTACCAGTACCAATAACACTAGCACTAGCACAAGCACTACCACTACCACTACAACTACCACAGCAACTACTGCTACTCCTCTTCCCCCTCCTCCACCTTTTCCTCTGCCCACCACCACCACCACCACCACCACCACCACCACCACCACCACCACCACCACCACCACCACCACCGCTTCGACGTCTTCCTCTTCCACGACGAACACTTCTACTACTGCTTGTTCTCCCTGCGGCCGCGAGGACCACCACCCACACAGCCACCACTACCGCCAGCTAACGACCACGACCTTCGCTACTGCACGTCAGAACCGTAGTTGAAGAGAAAAGCCGAGGATGTCCTTCTTGCGCCCTTTGATCCTGGCCTTTGCGGTGCCCTGTCTCGAGGCTGCGCGCAGAGAGGTTCAGACTTAGGCTTCAGATCTTTAGAATCCGGGGTTGATGCTGTAGCCTTCGATGACACTCGTTCGTGCGAACAGTTATAGATGTGTCGTTGGTGTAAACGACAAGGCGTCAAATCCATGTCCATGTGTACGGAATCGTTGCGCATCTTTGCGCTGCTTTTTCATCGATGCAGCCATGCAGCCATGTTGTTCGGCGAGGCCATCGTGTGGAATGGCAAGGATGGCAGTGACTCGAATGTGGTAGCGGCCATCGACCTCAGTAAAATTCCCGTCTGCACCGACGGCCTGGTTGCAGGCGGGCCGGTTGAAGGTCTTGTGCAGAAGACTTAAGTTCTAAAGCCGCTTAACAGTCGCTTAACCCAAACCCTGGGACGACACAGGTGGCGAGGCGCAGTGCGATTCCCTAACGAAGGACAAGTGCAAGGGCTACACCCAGTGGGATGATTCAGGAAAGCTCTTCATCCAGTGCAAGCCAAGTGGAGAGAACTGTCTTGCAGAAGGCCCACAATGCAAGAAGCCTCCAAATCCCTGGATCAAGCCCAAGAAAGGAGTAGTGTGCAACAAGGCTTGCAAGGACAATGGCTTCACAAAGTGCAACAAGAAGGAGATGGCAAAGATCGACAGTAAGGAAAAGATCAAGAAGGCAATGAAAGCGGCCGGCTACAATTGCCGGAGCGTCGGCGGACACAGAGCCTACGCCGGAATTCCCTTCACGACCTTTCGATCCGGAGACGAGTGCTACTATGTCACCCCCGGAACCAAAGCGAGCTCAATTAAATGTGATTCCAACAAGTACAGCGGACATGGGCCCCTTTGCTACTGTGAGTAGAGCAGCTTAGAATCTGGAGGAGTGCAGAGAAGGCAGTCTTGTCGCTCGGATTCTCTGAAGGAAAAGAGGCCATTCCAAGCAGTTAGGAGACCCTAAACCCTAAATCCTAAACGTGTGATGTTATGATTCCTTGATTCTTATTACTATTACTACCGTCTGGGAAGACATTCGTACTCTCACGGAAACAAACTGTCCAAGGTGCCTGCACGGTTTGGGAGGGCATGGTCAAGCTCCACACAACAGAAAAGCCCACTACCTGGCATTCCCAAGTTTCAAACTCCTTTGCTACCAACAGAACCCCCTAATACGTGGCAATTTCCAAGTTTCAAGCTCCTTTTTGCAGTTTCATAGTAGTTTCATACTAGTTTCAAACTAGTTCCAAACTCCAGTTTCAAACTCGCAGTTAAGGGGGAATTGGGTTTTCCTGGACGCGAAATTGAAAAGCCTCAGTTCCCACAGATTCCAGATTTCTCATTTTCGCGCCCAGGAACATGCAGTTCCCCCTTGACAGCGAGTTTGAAACAGGAGTTTGGAACTAGTTTGAAACTAGTATGCCGTGTATTCGGACTGTCTGTTGTCTGGAGCCTGGCCTTGCCAACACAGGCCGTCATCCTGGACCCTGAAGCCCTCGAGTTTGTAAATTTGGCAAGATCTCGGATCTAGAATCTAGAGTGACGAGAGCAGCGACAACTATGGGTACTGTTGATGGACGAAATCCTGCATCATTTTTATTACACCAAGAGTCCCTTCCAAACCCTGAATCTTAACATTGACCTCTTCGCAATGCTTGGGAGGGGCATGTGCCCGAATGACCGAAATCCTGCATCACCTACATGTACATGCAACATTGAAATTAGAGGGGCACGGGGAGCTCCACTGTTGACAAAACATATTTGTCACCTAGGGGGTCATGCAGGATTTTGTCCATCCACCGTATTGCTTTCATTATAAATATTATTGTTGTTGCCAAGCCTGAGATCGGTACAGGGCAGCCAAGCAGCATGATGCAATCTCCTGCGGCTTAAGCCCCAGCCCCCAAACCCTAAACCCTAAGCCTGTACAATCAACTAACTAAGGTAGTGTGCCTATCTGCTGTGGATCTTGGCTCACAGCGGTACCGAACATATCCACATCCCCGAACCCAACCCGAAATTCGCAAAGAACCCAGGCCAAGACTTTCAGTTTCAGATCCTTTCTCAGTTTTTAAACATGTACTGCGTAACACAGCCGAGAGCCTTAGACCCCTCACCTAACCCCGAAGCCCACGTCCAGCTTGAAAAGAGACACCACTCGCTAATTTTTATTGTTGGTAGAATTTTCTATTTCCCTGTACCGCAGCCATGTCCCCATCCATGCGATGGGTTGTTGCAATCGTGGCCTTAGCGGTCAGCGCTGACTCCTTCCAGGCTCACACTGGAATCCCGTGCATTTTATGGGGCTTCAGGGTTTTAGCTTCTCATTCCAGAGTTTGGGTGTTGTGTTGGGATTTGCTTTAATGAGGGTTCAGCGCTTGAGCGCTCGAGGGTGCAGTGTTTGTTATGCCGAAGCAAGGAATCTACTAACTAAAGAATTACCAATACTATTTGGGGGTTCCTTTCAATATACCCCAAAACCCGACTCTATTCATTAAGGCCCCTACATTATGGGATCATTTCCGTCTCAGCTGGACATACCGAAAACAAAATCCTGTAAGCCCAACATGCACAAGGTGGGCATAGCTTCAACGCGTGGAGTCCAAAGCGGTCCTAACAGTAACCCTAAGGCTCCATGTATCAATATAGTATAGACTCAGACCTCAAGTACCCATCTAAGAACCCTTTAAGGCCTAAGTATATAATACTAGATGGGTACATGGAGCCTCTGGGTAAGGGCTTTGGATCATAGGTCTTCGGTAAGGCTTTCGGGGCACGGGATTTACGACCCAGCGTGTGTTCTCTTCAGAATCAGCAACAGGGTTTAGGGTTTAGGGTTTAGGGTTTAGGGTTCTTGCATTGAGAATGCATCCGGCCACTACAAAAAACGGATGGCTTCAGCGGAGAACCAGGAGGAACCAATCGGGAGCCTGGCCGCCGCAAGACGAGTGGGAAATATTGTTTCCAAGCATAGCTTCAGGTGCACAAAAAAAGGGTTTAGGGTTTAGGGTTTAGGGTTGGAGTGGGACTTGTCGTTTGGATTCTGGAGGGGGACTCTACCCAGAGAGCCAGGCCAACTTCCCGCCTAACCACGGGTTCAGTCCTCCGGTTTTGTGATGGCTCTTCTGGCTACAAATGGGGGTTTCCGAAAATAGGGGACCCTAATATGGTACCCTAAATAGTAGGATCCCTATTATAAGGACCCCAAAATAGGGTACCCCCCAATTTTCGGAAACTCCCAAATGTCATACCGAGAGGGACTTACGTAAGCCCTAGCTGGCATGAAACCGGATTGTTTGCCTCGTATCCCTGGGCAGCAAGCCCTGAACCCTATATAGACCCTGTTTACCCAAAGCCCTAAACCCATCATATTATTATGATGATTATTATTATCACCATTATTGCTATTATCTTAAAAAATAGAAATAATCATTGTTGTCACTATTGTCATTATTCTCATTATTGTTCTGAATCCCATACCCTAAACTCTGATTCCCAAACCCCCAACCCCCAAGCTCAGCGAACCTGCCTCCTGTCAAGAGGTTAGCGCTGACCCCGAGGTCGGGGCTTCGGGGTTTCGGGGGTTTAGGGTTTAGGGCTTGGGGTTTAGGGTTTAGGGTTCAGGGTTTAGGGTTTAGGGCTTGGGCCTTGGGCTTGGGGTTTAGGGTTTAGGGTTCAGGGTTTAGGGTTTAGGGCTTGGGGTTTAGGGTTTAGGGCTTGGGGCTTGGGCTTGGGGTTTAGGGTTTAGGGTTTTTAGGGTAGGGATTGAGGATCCCACTTAGGGATTACCCCGCCCAAGGCCTAGCTTCATCCCACCTTTGGAGCCGGCGTCCAGGGTGTGGAGCATAAGGTATAGGTTGGTTTGGGGTTTGTGAGGATCTCAGAATGGCTGGACACAGGCCTACAGTAACACATCGCACAGCTCGGTGGCCAGCGGCTAGTGCGTCAGAAGGCAACGTAGAACCCACCATCCCAGACGCATGCTTGAGAATGACCACCAAAGTTTTGGTATGTTGGCAGAATAACAGGCCAATGAACACAGATGTAGCTAATGTAGCTACAGCCACACAGCGCAAGGTGGATTCATCAACCAGTAGTGCTGGCTACATTGAACAGTCCCAAAGGCACAAAAGACTTTGCTGTCCAATTGCTGATATCTGCTTGTTGGGGTTGATCTCTTCCATGCCTTCAGAGCCGCAGGGAGTCCTGTAAGACAGACGGTTTAGGATTCAGATGTTAGAGGTTGAGGGTTTAGGGGGACTAGGCTAGGCTAGACATCAGTTTCAAAAGATTTCCAGCTTAGGTTTTAGGGGTTTAGGTCCGAGAAAGTATAGAGGTTTGGTGGTTGCTTCTGTCCTAAATCCCCGAAGTGCTCGCCCCCACGCCCCAAAGCCACAAGATTTGGGCCATCGTTGCTGGACACCTTGTTCTAATTGGTATATAAGGCTTTTGCACTCGACCCTCATAGCAATTCTTACAGAAACCCTTTAAAGAAACCCCTTCCTTACTAACCTATAGTATCCTTGTCGAACTTTGTAAAGGGGCCCTTTAAAGGAACCCCTCTTCAGTAGTCCTTTTTAGAGACCCCATTCTAATTATCAGTGCTTGCAGTACTTAGAGGATCATGGGACTTAGTAACTGAGGCTATAAGTAAGGTAACTATACTTATAACCCCAATTAGGGTACTTATAACCCTACTTACTAAGTCCCAAGATCCATTAACCCTAAACCCTAAACCCTAAACCCTACTTACTAAGTCCCAAGATCCTTTAAGTAGAGTAAGACTGAGGCAGGCCTCTCGGCCGACTACTCGTCGCAGCTCGCCGAATGGTCGCGGTCCCAGTGGGTTCTTTTAATGGCTCTTTGAAAGTGTCACTGTAAGGTTTAGGGTTTAGGGTTTACGGTTTGCCAATGTTCCGCGCACACCA